CCGTAAAATGGGGTGAATATTATTCAATAATAGTTATTTTATAATTTTGAAAAATTGTTTAGTTTTTTTGGTGTTTTCTTGTTTTTAGTACCTTGCTCATTTTTTTCTTTTGCAAGTGAATATCATTCTTGTTTTGACATAATGAGTTATGATATATTTGGTTTATATTTGACTGTGTATTGAGCAACCAACCTTTGTCAACAATTTTGTTTATATATTTTTTCAATAACTATAAATTATGTTAGAAAAATAAACAGTGAAAAATGTATATGAAGTTTTTAAATTGACATGATCTTTTACCAGGACAGCTAGTTATGTATATTTAGATATTTTATAGGATAATCTAGTACAGTACTTCTCAGTTTTTTTTGTCATGCGGCTTCCTAAATTTAATGTAAAACTTTCAAGGCCCCTTTAGTCAAAATTATTAATTGTTTTTTCTAAATTAGGTAAATACTAAAATTACATGTACTATTTCACACAGACAAATTATTAAAATGTATACTAAACTAATGTTTTAATATATTTTTAAAAAATATTAATAATAGTACCTATTAAAATTTAAGTATTTAAACTTTTTCCATAAACGCTTAAAGTCTAAAGAAAATAAGTAATGATCTAGGATGACCATATAAATCTATCAACCATTTACCATATAGATATTTTTCTATCCCCAGGATCTCGGTTAATATATAATCATATATAGGAAATAGCATTGATTTTTTAATATACTATAAATACTATGAATATATTGTAAAATCAATGGTGATAGGTACAACTGAGTAATAAATGCTTATAAAAAGGTATTCAAAGTATATGCATTTTGGTAATACATAGGTAATATGAATACTATTATTAAACTCAATATCAACATATTATGAATTGTATTTAAAATCAATATATTAATTAATAATTAATAATTATTATTTGTAAATTGTAACACATTGAAAGCATTATGTATGATAATTTTGTGAATTAACTCTTACATTTTTCATATATTTTTTTTGTTATAGGAAATTTAAAAATGACAACATTTAATAATATTAATAATTGTATTTGATAAAAAGAAAGTATTAAAATACATGCATATAAATAATTTAGAGCATAGAAGTCATTATACAATGAACAATTTTGAATTTTATTCCTTAACTCATAATATATTTTCAATTTTTTATGGCTTTGGTGCACAAACGTGTTCGTTTATCGGCATCTTTATTACATATAGCGCTCCCGGTGATCGTGGTAGTGGTGGTAGCCAGTGTTGCAAACTCGTCATTTCCAAAATATGCTATGACCACTTCAACAAATAGCTAGATAATGCTAGATAATATTTTTTTTTAAATGCTAGTTATGGCTAAAAAAAATGAAAAAAATGCTATGAAAAATGCTAAAAAAAAAATGATAACAATTTAATAATAAATTATTTTATTATATAAATATGCAATATCAACATCAACATAATATTTATAACATAAACAATTTATATGCATTGGTTATTAATAAAAAAAAATTATATTGAGACAATATTATTCTCATTTTCATACTTTTGAAAATTAAAACAATATTAAAGAATAATAATATAATAAAAACATATGCAATATCAACATAAGTAATATTAAAAACAAAAACAGTTTTAAGGTACATGCATTGGTTAGTATTAAAAAAAAAATATATTGAGACCATATTATTCACATTTTCAGACTTTTGAAAATTAAAACAAACTTATAAAATAAATAAACAATATTAAATAATAATAATATAATAAATACATATGCAATATCAACATAAGTAATATTACAAACAAAAACAGTATTAAGGTACATGCATTGGTTATTACAAAAAAATTATATTGAGACCATATTATTCACATTTTCAGACTTTTGAAAATTAAAACTTCCTTATAAAACAAATAAAACAATATTAAAGAATAACATAACAAAATATTATTCTTATATTTATATTTAAATCCATAATTCATCTGTATCATCGGGATCTTCTTCTTGATATTCAATATCATTATTACCAATACTTGTACTAGGAGCATACATTGTTGAAGTAACTAAATTAGGATTTGAAATTGAATTATAAGTCTGTAAGGTACCAATTTTTTTTAGTACATCTGGTGGAAATTTATATTTTAAGCAGCACGTGTTTCTTCTCCTTAGGCCCGATTTAATTGTAAGGATAGAGTCCAACAATTTTGTACCCATCTTATTGCGGGCTTTTGTTTTTACTATATTCATTTGGCTAAAAAGCCTTTAAACTTCCGCATTGGACCATGGAAGCACTAATAGCTTCAACGAAAATTCACTCAATTCATAAAATGGATTTATGTCCGATGAATCTCTGTATATTGACACTTCATACCAAAATTAATGTGTATCAGTTTTTTCCAGCCATTTAATATTTGTTATATTATCCCATTGCACATTTATTTTACCAATGGTTTCCATCTCAATATCCATCATTTCCATGAGAGGTATAAGTGTATCTTTTACTACTTTGAGTGTGTTTGATACTGATAACAAAGAAATATTTTCTAGTACATTAATGTTATGCGGGAGTCTTTGTTGTAATTGATTACCTAGGTGTAAAATAAACGACACGCATCTATCTCTTAAACACTTTTCACTCTCAGGGCTAATATTTGAGTCTTCTACAGTTTTTTCAAAACTATACCCTAGGTAAGGTTTAGGATATAAATAATTTTCAATCCTTACAGTTAGGAAATCTTCTCTGCACATAGGTGTAACAATTTTTCTTACAGTTGATTTGACTAAATTTGTTTGATCAGAAAGTAATTTACATGGATCTGCATTATTTGACTCGAATGATTTGTTTACGATTTACACTTCTTCGAGTATAGGTTTTAAGAATCTTAAATACGCTAAATTTTTATTATCAGAATACATTTCATATAGAAGTTCTGCAGTGTAACATTTTTCCTTTAGTCTAGCAATACCAAATAAAGTCTTAAGCTCAAGCCATTGTTCCACAATTCTAGAAACTGCAGTTTCTATGGATAGCCATCTTGTACCACAAGCTCTTACAATTTTTAAAGGGTTATGTCCATTATTTATTGCCTTATAAAGATCCTTGTACTGACTTTGCCTAAGTGTCGAATGTGAAAACCAATTAAACGTTTCTTTAATTAAAAAGTCTATAAACCTTGGTACTGCTTCAGATGCAGCACTTGACACTGCAAGTTGCAGAGAATGACACACACATGGAATTAGTATAAGTGACGGGGTTTCTAGTTTTTTGGTAAACTCCATTGTTTACACCAACCATTACTGATACGTTGTCCGTTCCAATTCCTACCAAGTTTTTTAACTGTAGCCCTTTATTTTGAATTGCATCCTTTAATGCATCAGTAATTGATTGAGCATCACAGTTTGTGATCTCAACCAATGATAAATACGTAGAAATAGTTTTACCCATTTCTCTGTCAAAATATATTACTGTAATGCCGAGAAATTTAGTGACACTGATATCTGTTGATTCATCAATCAGGAGACTATATGGATTTTCACCAATGCTTTGCATCAGGGAACTTTCAAAATGAGGTGCTAAGACATTGTTAATAATATTTGTGCATTTGGTTCTGTGTAGCTTAAAATCCTTAGCAGCTACACTGTCACCAAATGTATTATGGCAAAGAGTTCCTAAATGGTCAACGGGTAAGATTGAACAGTGTACTGCGATAAATAAGCTCAGACTTGCTTCAGCTTCATTAACTTTTATTGATGGAGGTTTACAGAAATTCGTTAAAAATTTTGAGCTGGATAGTAATTGTGTAGCCGAAATGTGTTTTGAAGTTTTAGCGTGTTATTTAATATCATACAATTTAGCATTTACCTCAGTTTTACAGTACCGACACCTACCTTTGCAATCATCTCCTTCAACTGCTACTAACCAATCTGTAAATAATGTATTCAGCAACCATTCTTTTCGGAACTTCTGAGTGTATTGAGGCTTACCCATTTCAAATTGATATTTAATTAGCATGTACAAAATTAAATAAAACTAAAAAGAAAAAACGTTAACGAATAAATGATATCAAAGAATTATGTGTGTAGAATGAACTGACTACTCAGGCTACATAACTACTTCAGCACTTTGTGGCTTTTACGAGTTACGACAATGTTCATCCACATTTGAAAATGTATACTGTAAACAGTTTAGTCATATTCAACTATTATAGGTAATAGGTTAGGTAATTAATAAATTAAATTAAATAGTTTATATCTTTTAAATTATAGATAACCATGGTATAATATAATGGTCTATAATATAATTGCCTACCATCAATACCAATCGGCAACCAAAGAGTAATAAATAATAATTAATAATTATTATTATACAAAGATATTTAAATATATATTTTTGGGGGGAAGTTGGCTTATCACGAATTCCCTTATCATTTACAAGAGGTTAGATCATGAACATTAGAGGAAGGACGCCGAACACAGCAGAAAGAAGCGTAAAAACATGGTCCGGAATTATCGCATTCCGCCAGAATGCGCGTCGGACCGTAATGATGTCGTTTTTACATGTACAGCATAGGACATTTAATGGTTTTTTATTATTATAATCTAAATGGTGAAATTTATGAATAGTTACTATAGAACATTTTTTTAAAACCAAATTGCCCTCGACCGAATATATGTGTTTCCAATAATATACAACTTTTATAAAAAAAGATATAGTTGTTGTCTCTTTTTATAAAAGTCGTATATTATTGGAAACACATATATTCGGTCGAGGGCAATTTGGTTTTAAAAAAATGTTCTATAGTAATTATTCATAAGTTACACCATTTAGAATATAATATTAAAAAACCAATAAATTCCCTATGCTGTACATGTAAAAACGACATCATTACGGTCCGACGCGCATTCTGGCGGAATGCGATAATTCCGGACCACTTTTATATACACAGTTCGGCGTCTTTCCTCTAATGTTCATGGGTTAGATACAGCAAGCCTGCTGCAGCTGCTGATATAATATAAAATCATAGATAAGATCTTTTATTATCTATATGTATAAAATACATATTATATATATCTGCGTTGGTGAGTCGTGACACATTTTTAAAGCAT